AGACGTGGAGGAGTTTCCCATGTGAAGTTTCTGACTCGTAGCAGGAGTGTATTCAGGGAACACCTCCATGTCAGAACACACATGCCTAGTGGCACCAGTATCGATGAACCACTCACTTGGGTTATCCACCAAATTGGCTTCAAACACCACAGCCGACATATCAAAGTCGGTCAATTCACCCGGCACAAGGCCGTGTTCAGCAACAAGGGCACTCGATATACCTTTCCTTGGCCCAGCCTTCTTAAAGTCAAGCCCGTTGAATTTTTCAGACTTTTCAGCTGTATGAACATGGACAACAGGTACATGATTGATCAGCTGCTGAGAGTTGAAACCTGCTCCGGTGGATGCCATCAGTTCAGTAGGATGACGAATATTCTTCTTGCGGTTGTTGGATATTTGGTGTAAAATTACACGGGAATCCTACGAACTGATATGTATTTTCAGTTCTTACAAATAATCTAAAAAATAAAAAATTACAATTGAACTGAAAAATAAAAATACAACTGAAAAACGGAAAGATTTTAGCCGAGGCGAGTAAAACTCTTTCCGCAAGAAGAATACGCCTCGTGTGTCAGCTAACGGTTCAGGCGTAACTTCCCCAAAGATACAACGGCAAACGTCTCTAAATCTGTAGCACACCAGATTTACGAGCTCCAGCGAACAGGAACGGAGTCGAGAACTGAGCACTTAAAAATAAAAGGAATATCTTAAAACAAATATAAATATCACTTGTTTTTCTCTTTTGATATTTTTATATCCGATATTTGGACATAAATCTATTTTTTCTTTCCTTTCTCTTTCTCTTTTCTTTGCTCTCTTTTCCTCTTCTTGGTTGGTACATTTTCCTTCTTCCCCGAATGGGCTATTTATAGGAGAATGAGTGCTGAAGTTAGTCATCAAAGTGGCCAGTTGGCCAATAATTGAAAATAAAATATAATTTATTTATTTTTTTTTTTCAAGTTGTCAATTGGACAATTGGGGGACGGTGGCAATTGGGGCGGCACCGCCCCATTATAATATTTTTTTCTGACACACACTTATCTTTAACTTGAAATGTATATCAAAATAATGTATAATTTTGACAAATCAACCTAATGACATATTCATATTCAATTAGACAAATTATATGGTTCACGTGCAGAGCACGTGCACTTTACTAGTTAAATAAAAAAGCAGATAATAATATCACATCTAGTGTATAAAACATTCCATTTTCGTCTAGTATGCACTTTAAACAGTTTTTACTTTCCACTGGATAAGGAATCGCGGATATCGTTTTCATTGACACCACTCCGTTCGTCGACACGTACTTTAACAACTCCAAGGAACAAAGATTTGATTGAAGTGCTATAATGCCAAGGGATAAATATCTCTCATCCCTCAAAAGGGTAAACTCTTGTTTATGCAGCCACATTATTCTTTAGTGTAACTCTAATAAAACAAGTTGAGCGTTAAAACTCACATTATTGGGACGTTTGAAACTTAGAACTTGGATTTGGCTCTCAAAACATCGTTGGCTCCTTGGAAGATAGTAGTCGGACACCACCCGATTAGGAGCATTGGGTATCATGGTGACATTCAGGAAATTGTTGATCAAGTTCTCCCCATTCTTGAGGTATTATAAAATTAAACAAGGCATGATTAATTATACAGTACCTTAGTTTTATAGTCAAGTAGCAAATGCAGAGATGAAATATAGAAAGAAAGTATGAATATTAGTTATTTTGTCTTATGCGGATTACCCTTACTACAAAATTTAAATTTTTAATGTATAATTTCTGACTGTTTCTAGAATTCCATAAATCAATTATAGAATTCAAGACAGTTTATATGTTCTAAAACCATTTCTAGAATCCCTAAAATTAATTATATAGTTCACAATATTATTTATATGTTCTAGAAAGCACTAAATATAATTTATGCAATTCTAGAAATTGTTATGAATGAAAAAAGTTTGGAGACGTTATTTTGGTAATTCACATGGAAAAATGACTATTATTCATACTTTCACAAAATAAGCTATATTGTATTTTTACAAATTGAGAAGACAATATACTAATATTATTACCTAATTATAATATGCGGTTTTACGCTAATCATGAAAAATAGCTTATCTTTTGAAAATGTAATTATCAAAACAACTTGTAATAAAACCAACTATCTTCTTATTTCAAGGGGAAAAAAATTAATCATCTCGCAAAACTGGAATACAATTCTGAAACAGTGCATTTCTAGTTTTGCGAGATAGTTTTTTTTTTCGCAAAACTGGACATGTAGAATTTTGATAATTGTCATCATTGGCTATTTTCATAAACTCTTTTCTAGGCAAACAAGGTGGATATGTACATTAATGGACATGATCATTGCTTGGAGCACCTTAGCAACCAAAACGGGTACAATATGAAATTCAACAATTATTTTTCAGACATATACGGTTAAATAATTCAGGGGTGGAGTTTCTATGCAGGTCGATGCAATTCTTGACCAGCGGGGGAGGTTCAAAGGCTTGGAAAAACAAGATTCACTATGAGCTCCATAATGAGACTACACGCTTCTATTATGATGGGCAAGGCTTCATCTCAGTGGAGCTCATACGGAAAAAGGCAAACATAACCTTTTTTTGATGTAGTGGGAAAGCCTATGTATGGTATAACAATAAAGCCATAGTTGACCATAGTGAGTCCATTTTCCTCATAAGAAACACAACATTTGAAAACAAACAACAAAAAAGTAGATGGTAATTTGTTCATATCAAAATCAATATGATTTATGATAAAATGTGTATCTTCAGATGGAGATAGAGCAAAACATTACTAATGTTGAAAACAAACAAGCAAAAAAAAAAATAAATAAATAAAAATAAAACAAATGGTAATTTGTTCATATCAAAATCAAGATGATTTGTGATAAATGTGGTTCCATCTCGAAATGGGAAAAGGAGAATATGAGTAATGTTATAAAATGCGGGGAATATAAAGAGCACAATGTAAAAATTGGATAAATTTCAGAATGCTTTCTTTCTTCTTCACTTTCGTATGTACATAAATTGCAATGTATCCATCACCTTTTTATAGCCAAATTTGGCACACTATCCAATACATTATATAATATAAATAAAAAGATAATCCTTGTTAATAGTGGTAAATCCACTTGTTCCTAACACTCCCCCTTGGAGTTACCACTATTAAATGTGCGTTTATGCTGCCTCGTTAAAAACCTTATCAGGAAAAACCCTGTGGGAAAAAAACCGAGATAAGGAAAAAAGAGTACAGCCGCACATACTCCCCCTCGAGTTATCATCTGTACAAATCCCGAAGATGTCTCATTCCAATGTTGTGTACGTGCTTTCGAAACATTGTCTTCGGGAGCGCCTTCGTAAACAAATCAGCTGCATTATCGCTTGATCGAATGTATTGAACTTTGATTTGTTTGTTTCTTTCAAGCTCTTGCGCATATGAGAAGAACTTTGGCGGGATATGTTTAGTTCTGTCACTCTTAATGTATCCTTCTTTGGTTTGAGCGACACATGCTGCATTGTCTTCATATATCACCATCGGGTCATTATTGTTCGATAGTCCACTGGCTTGTTGAATATGTTGAGTCATGTTTCTGAGCCAGATACTTTCCCTAGTTGCTTCATGAAGTGCAATGATCTCAGCATGGTTTGAAGATGTCGCAACTAATGTTTGTTTCTGGGAACGCCAAGAAAATGCAGTTCCACCAATCGTGAAAACATAGCCGGTTTGAGATCTTGCTTTATGGGGGTCCGATAGATATCCTGCATCTGCAAAACCGATTATTTCATGTTTTTTATCGTTAGAGTAAAACAGTCCCAAATCGATTGTCCCTTGGAGATAACGGAATATATGTTTGATTCCATTCCAATGTCTCCTTGTAGGTGCCGAGTTATATCTTGCTAATAAATTGGTAGCGAAAGATATATCTGGTCTGGTACAATTAGCAAGATCCATAAGAGCTCCAATTGCACTCATATATGGTATTTCAGGACTAAGTATTTCTTCATCTTCTTCACAAGGTCGAAATGGATCCTTTTCAACATCTAATGTTCGATTTACCATTGGGGTACTAAGCAGATTAGCTTTGTCCATATTGAATCGTTTCAATATTCTTTTAGTGTAATTAGATTGATGGACAAATATCCCATTTTGGACTCGTTCTATTTGCAAGTCGAGACAATATTTGGTCTGTCCGAGATCTTTCATTTCAAACTCGCCTTTTAGTAAAGTGACTGCTTCTTGGATTTCATTTGTAGTCCCAATAATATTAAGATCATCGACATAGACAACAATTATCACGACTCCATCTTGTGATCTTTTTATAAAAACACACGGGCATATTTGATTATTTATGTATCCCCGTTTCAGTAATTGTTCACTCAAACAATTATACCACATACGCCCGGATTGTTTCAAGCCATACAATGATCTTTGCAGTTTTATTGCACATAACTCTTTAGGTTTGGACTTTAGCGCCTCGGGTATTCTAATTCCTTCTGGAATTTTCATATAAATGTCTGCGTCTAGCGATCCATATAAGTAAGCAGTCACAACATCCATAAGACGCATCTCAAGATTTTCATGGATGGCCAAACTAATCAAGTATCTGAAAGTAATCGCATCCATAACAAGAGAATATGTCTCATCATAATCGATCCCAGGCCTCTGGGAGAATCCCTGTGCTACAAGGCGAGCTTTATATCTTGTGATCTCATTTTTCTCATTTCTTTTTCTGACAAAAACCCATCTGTACCCAATAGGTTTTATGTCTTTAGGTATAATGGTAATAGGTCCAAACACCTTTCGTTTATTAAGCGAATTTAACTCGGCTTGAATAGCACCTTTCTACTTGTCCCAATCATGTCTTTTCTGACATTCAATCATAGTCAGGATCCTCAACTTCTTTGTCAATTTCTTGTGATACCATATATGCGAACGCATCATCAATGATCCCATCACGCTTCCAAAGTTTCCATTATTTACATAATTGATAGAGATTTCAATATTTTCATTTCGTTCCGAAATTTTTCCATCATCTTGATTCTTTTTCAAATTCGAATCTTGAATTTCTCTTTTCTTTCGAGGATTCTTATCTTTAGACCCCACTGGTCTTCCTCGTTTTAATCGTGCCTTTAATTCATTTGGCACATCGTCATTTGCCATTTCTTTTGTAATCTCAATTCGAGCAGGGGCATTTATAGCTGCAACATGTGATTTTGCCACCCTTTTTGTATCAGTAAATGCATCTGGCAATTGATTTGCAATATTCTGCAGATGTATGATCTTTTGAACTTCTTGTTCTCTTTGTTTGGTGGGAGGATCAAGATATGATAGTGATGATGTTCTCCATTCAATATTTTTCTCAATTGACTTTTCATTCCCACCTAAAGGGGGAAATAATTCTTCATTAAAATGACAATCATCAAATCGAGCTGTAAAAACGTCACCTGTTTTTAGCTCAAGGTATTTTATTATTGATGGAGATTCATATCCAACATATATTCCCAACCTTCTTTGAGGCCCCATTTTCGTACGTTGGGGCGGAGCAATTGGTACATACACTGCACAACCAAAAATTCTTATATGTGCAATATTTGGTTCTCGACCAGATGCTAATTGTAATGGCGAGTATGTATGGTGTGCACTTGGTCTTATGCGAATTAGATTATCTGCATGCAGAATAGCATGTCCCCATACTGAAGTGGGGAGTTTTGTTCTCATTATCAATGGTCTGGCTATAAGTTGCAGTCGTTTAATCAATGTTTCTGCTAGACCATTTTGAGTATGAACATGTGCGACAGGATGTTCAACATCAATTCCCACTGCCATACAATAATCATTAAATGCTTGAGATGTAAACTCTCCAGCATTGTCAAGTCTGACTCTTTTGATAATATAATCTGGGAATTGAGCCCTTAATTTAATAAGTTGGGCAAGTAATTTAGCAAATGCCACATTTCTAGTGGATAACAAGCTCACGTGAGACCATCTACTAGAAGCATCAATTAACACCATAAAATATCTGAATGGACCACAAGGTGGATGAATAGGTCCACATATATCACCATGAATCCTTTCCAAAAATAATGGTGATTCATGCCCGACTTTAGTATGTGATGTCTTATTATCAATTTCCCTTGAGAACATAAGGCACATGTTAATTCATGTGTTTGCAGTATCCTCTGATTTTTTAATGGATGCCCACTAGAATTTTCAATAATTCTTCGCATCATTATTGAGCCAGGATGACCAAGTCGATCATGCCAAAGTTTAAACATTTCATTCGCTGGTGACTTTGTTGCAGCATAAGTCTCAATAATATGAATGCGGGTGTAATATAAGCCCGAGGATAAAGCTGGTAATTCCTCCAACACACATTTATTTCCCGCAATATCTGAGGTAATGCAAAGATATTGAACTCCCCCTTTATTCATTGTTTCAACGTGGTATCCGTTCATTCGAAAATCTTTAAAACTCAACAAGTTTCTTGTTGATTTTGGGGAGAATAATGCATCATTCAATATAAATTTTGTACCTCCCGTCATAAAAAATATGGCTTTTCCAGAACCCTCAATTATCTTCGCATTTCCGGAAATTGTGTTTACCTTTGCTTTATTTAATTTCAAGTTGATGAAATATTTTTTGTCCTTGAGTATAGTATGAGTAGTTGCACAATCTGCAATACATATATCTCCATTTTGGATTCGAGATCGATCCATGATCTAAAAGAAAAACAACATTTATTATTGATTAAAGTCGAAATACAGATAAAAACACACAAATACAACAAAACTTAGAAAGTAATAAAAACAACAACATGATCATCAGTTATTCTCTTGATCATTTCCAGCTCTGTCTTCAAATACTGCATCAGCAAAATCTAGGTTCAACATGTCATCGATGCCATAGTCATCATCTACACGTGTTGTATCATTTGCAGAGGATTCCCCAACTATAAAATTAGTTTCTACATTTTTGTCTTTTGATTTCTGGGAATCATTATGTTTATCAACAACATGTTTCGGAGCACGAAAGTTTCGTGCCTAATGTCCTGCCTTTCCACATCGATAACATGCATTTTCATCATTATTCTCTGTCATATTATTCTGTTCAAATTTTGGCTGGAAATTTCTCCCCCTTTCAAAATTTTGGGCATAGTTACGGCCTCGCCCACGATTATATCCCCGGCCCGAGTTATATCCTCGATGAAATTTGTGGATTTGGTCAAATCGGCGATCTGGACCATATCCATGGCCACGGCCACGGCCACGTCCACGTCCACGACCCCGGCCACTTCTCGAGGTATATCCACGCATATATGTTTTGCTGTTTTCAGTTCCGGTTCCCTGTTTAGATATTACAGCATTTATTTCAGGGACCACAATAGACCCCGTAGGCCTAGATTCATGATTTTTCATCAACAACTCGTTATTTTGTTCAGCCAGCAACAAACAAGAAATTAACTCAGAATATTTTACAAAGCCTTTTGCTCTGTATTGTTGCTGCAATAGTACATTTGAAGCGTGGAACGTGGACAACGTTTTTTCGAGCATATCGTAATCAGTTATGTTTTCTCCGCATAATTTCAATACCGAGCAAATGCGGAACATGGTTGAATTGTACTCGTTTACAGTTTTGAAAAATCTTGGAAGCGTAAATGCATCCATTCATAACGAGCCCGGGGGAGAATCACCGTTTTCTGGTGATCATACCTTTCTTTCAAGGCTTTCCAGAGATCTGCAGGATCTTTAACAGTTAAATATTCATTTTTCAATGTCTCATTCAAATGATGCCTCAGAAATATCATTGCTTTAGCTTTATCCTGTATTGATGAATCATTTGGGGATATTATTGTTTTTTCCAATCCCCTTGCCGCCAAATGAATTTTGGCATCCAGTGTCCATGAGATATAATTTTTCCCAGATATATCGAGAGCTTCAAATTCGAGTTTGACCAGATTTGCCATGATAACTATAAAATAAAACATCAATGCTTAGATTCGAAAAATTACATATATAATTATTAATTCTTCAATACATACAAAAGAGCAAATACTAAACACATTATACAAAGGCCTAATACATAAAATTTAAATCCAACAGTACGATACATCATCGTGAAAATTAGCAAAACATATATAATAAACAAGATAATGGTAATTATAAGTAATAGATCATACATTTTTTTTTTCTTATAAAGAAAATATATTTTGAGTGTTTGGATTATGAAAATGAATTGTAGTGTTATATATAGATATTGTTAAATAGCCGTTACAAAAATAACCGTTAACTAGTCGTTGGAAACAAATTTAATGATATAATATTTGCTAATTAGTCATTTATGATCATAAAATTCTAATTTATCATGTATATTACCTTAAAAATTCACCGAGTCATTACGTAAACAATTTAATAAATAACAAATCAAATATAAATGTCATTCCACACTACTCGATAAATCTTTCGGTGGGTACAAGAGTAAACAGTTATAAATTTCACGCCACATTACTGGGTAAACCATTTTGTGGGTGTTAAGTATAAGTAATAATATTTATTATAACTAGAATAATAATTCATAAACAAATTTAATAATATCATATCACCACATATTATTGACTATGGCATAGCCTAATTTGTCAATAATAATGGTAATTTGTAAATAATATCATATTTAATATACATATCTTGACTGTGGCAGAGCCTAACTTGCAAGAATAATGGTAATATATATATATATATATTTTTTACTGTGGCAGAGCCTAACTTGTCAAAAATAATAGCAATATGTATATATATCCTTGACTGTGGCAGAGCCTAGCTTGTCAAGAATAATGGTAATATGTATATATATCCTACCTTTCTTGACCGGGTAGAGCGCTCGTGCTGATAACGTGTTATAAAACGCGGGGAATATAAAGAGCACAATGTAAAAACCGGATAAATTTCAGAATGCTTTCTTTCTTCTTCACTCTCATATGTACATAAATTGCAATGTATCCATCACCTTTTTATAGCCAAATTTGGCACACTATCCAATACATTATATAATATAATAATAAAAAGATAATCCTTGTTAATAGTGGTAAATCCACTTGTTCCTAACAAGTAACTACTTTTTCAACAATTAGAATAAAGGGGGTTTGAAATTTCAAGAATTCTTGAGATCCAAACTTTAGTGCTTAATTATACAAACAACATTATTGAATATTTAATGAAATATGCCAACAAACTGTATCAGCTAATAACAATAATATCCATCCATTTCCCAACCCACACAAGCATATTGTAACGCCCCGCTTTTCGTACATTGAATTTCTAGAATAAATTTTTCTTTTTATAAAACTTTTGAAAACTTTACTTGGAATTCAGGGTGCTACTTACTTTGAAAAACGTTTCATACATAATTCTTTCATAACCATAAAACTTTTCATGAACATAAACATTTCATACGTGAACATAGAACATTTCATACGTGAACTTTTCCTGAACATGAACATTGTACATGGCGTTGCCTTGAGAACTTACACTTTAACTTGACTTGCATGAATCATGACTTATTTCATAAAATAAACTTTGCATAGCGGAAGCTTTTAAAACATAAATACATAAACATTTAAACATGTGACCACCCTCGCCATCGCTCCATTGCCAGCTCGCCAAAACCTAGGTGTGGAAAACAAATGGGGTGAGCATTTCCACTTACTCCGTGAGAGATCCCTCTACGTTATCATCCTAATCAACTATAAAGCATGAAATCATTTTTGTATACTCCACATAGTCATGTGCTCCCGACGAGTGGTGACCCACAAGTCGAAAGACTTTCTTGCTTCTACAACACTATTAGACAACTAAACACTAGAGCCTTTGCATGCAGGTGATTACATTCTTGTCACACTCCCACCCCTCATCAAACTCCTTATACCACTTTATGGTGGTGGAAGAACAATGCCTCTCGCAAATGGCACGGCCAAATAGGCTTGATGCGAGTACCTTTCAATAGGTTGAAGGAAGATAGCCTTTCACTAGGCTCCGTACAGTCTTATCGACGGGGAAAACCGTTCGAAGAGTGCACCAACGAAGGTTACACAAATCACTTACACCCTCTAACCCTAGCACTTAGCTACCCTCTAGAGTTATAGTCCGTGAACCTTGGTACTGCAACAAACGACTTGCTCGAATGTTGGAACATTGTATAAACATGGGTACTATGCAAGCTACTTAACTTCATTCAATGCATAGATAATTAAAGAAGATTAATAAAGTAGAACTTCCCCCACCTTTTCAGTAGAATGCTCGGCTTAGACTTGAACTTGACTTTGAACGAAATTCGAGGGCTCGACTCCTCGTAAAACTACATTCATTGGGGTCATGTCTTAGTGTCTTAACATAGAACTTATTCTTATACTTATACTTATACTTATAATCATACATCAGCTTTAGAAAAACTTTGCTCGCTTGGCTTCGCCTTGCTTGCATCCTTTTGAAAACATTCTTACTTAAATCTTGGAATAATTGAACTCTTAGCTTGCTTACTTAAGGACACCCTTTTAATCATCTACGGTTCATCATGATCTCACTCAATGCTTTACAGCTCATTCATGTCACATAAGCATGCTTAATAAACATAAGACTCACTTAAACAATTACACTTAGTCCTTTGACAAAACTTAACACGTGCTGCATTTTTAAAACGAGCATATCTTTCAACATACAAGTCGCATTAACATGATCCAAGTCTCATATTGCTCCTAAGACATGTTACTACAACTTTTATTTAGCACTCAAAAGCAAATAAGGTGATATACATGGTCCAAAACCAGCAAACATTCAAAGCTAAAATGCTGTCC